GGATTTCTTTGATAAGGTTTCTATTTCCCGGATGCAGATTTCCTATCTTTCATCTGATCCTACTGAGTCATCCTCTCGTTCCCGGTCTAGAGCTTCTTCCTCATCTGCTTCTGATATTTGTGACCGTCTGGATCGTCTTGAGACTAAGTTCTCAAACGTTCAGAAGCAAGTCTCAACTATCCAAAGGGATGTCAGGACCATTCTTTCATATCAGCGTCAGTCTCTCGGGATTCCGGATCCCTCTTCTAGTTCTGAGTCTGATTCTGAGGAGGGCCCTGCTGATGGCTCAGGCTCTTCTGATGATGGTGATGGTGATGGTGATGGTGATGATGATGGTGATGGTGATGATTGATCTTGCTGATTATTGAAGTTCCTTTCATTGATTTCTATGCTATTAGTGATGTTCCTTTTTGAGTTGTAAAACTTGATATCTATGTTTTTTGTTTGAGTGTAATAACTTTATATTAGTGTAGAACTATGTGACTTTATATAAATGGTTTGCTGTCTTGTGGAACAAACTATGTTTATGCAAAACTATGTTGTTTCTAAATGCTTAAATGATGATTTGTGATTTATTAGTTTATCTTTTCTGTGATCAATGCATGGTTGAAACAATGTTCATGTTTTGTTTGTGGAAAATAAGTTGCTAATAATGAGTTCCTTAATTTATATACTGTTTATGATTATTTTTGAAGGATAATTGTTGTTTAGCTCCTATATATGTTCAATAGATGTCATTTATTAAATTTGACAGGGGGAGCTTTTGGTATACTTTTTTATTATCTGTGCTTATATGCAGGGGGAGCGTTGCTCCTATTTTTTTTTTCTTTTTTCCCTTTTTGATGCTGTCAAAGGGGGAGAAAAATCCACATATGGTTTACAATTTAACTCATTTTCATATATGGTTTATGTGATCATTCATATTTGGCTTATATGTGGGTTATCAGTTTATAATTCATATTCACGTATAAATTGTTTGCCATCATCAAAAAGGGGGAGATTGTTGACCCTATAGTTTTGATGATGATTTGTCAAACAATTTATCGCTAATATATTCTCTAGTTTTTGTGTTTATGTTTCTTCTTTCAGGTATTTCAACACACGTCAATCAAGCATTAAAGATTCAAGTTCATATGTGTGGATTTACCTAGGTATATGTTTGGTTTACTTACATATATTGTATGATTATATCTAAGCTCAATATATGTACACTTAACACGATTTTTGACGTTTTCTATCATATAAATGATTTTTCATCAAACATTGTTACAATAACTTTTATCTCATGTTTACAGCTCTTTCATACTTCATTATATACATATAATACATGCATACTATGTATATACATTTTTACAACCCTTATGTCAATTTTCATGTTCACGAAAAACAGGTTTTTTGAACACTTTTTAAAAACAGGGAGTTTTCACAAACGAAAATTGATTTTCTAAAAATTCCTTTTCAAACATGTTTATTTCATCATTTAGAAACTTTCCCCAAAGTTTCACTATTTTTGGATTTGATTTGATATTTTTAATGAATTTTTAAAACAGCCCCAAAACCTGTCAATATGCCATATATTAGTTTTCAGTTGACCGATGCGGTCGACCGCCAGTTGTATTTTCCTGAGCTCATTTGTTTTGTGCTCGTGGTCGACCGAGAGAACATCCAGAGACTTTTCCGGTCGACCGCCGCGGTCGACCGCCAGCCTTGATTTTTTCCTTCTTTGTTCTTTTGAGCTTCGCGGTCGACCGGACCGGTTGACCGCCGAACTGTCAGAACTTTACAACGGCTATTTTTTTACAGTTGTTTTGAAACTGGTTTTTTGGTCTTTTACTTATGTTTTTGCTGTTGTATTGGGGTGCTATAAATACCCCATTGCTGCTCTTCTTCTATAGATCTAAGAAATCCAAGTTTGGTGTTTAACAAAATATTAATTGTGTTTAAGAGCTGTTTAATAGTTGATTTCATCAATCCGTTTTCAAGAGAAGTTTTTTTACAACAAGAAGTGGCATTCAAATCCTATTGGAATTATCTCTACTAATCTTCTTGTTTGAGAAGTCTTCTAAACTCTTAGATAGCTTGTTATTTCTTTTTCATTTTATTTAGCTATATTTATTGAGTTTCATTCACTGTTATCACACACACTTATTGAGCTTAATATTTTCATACCATATAGTGTGGGTTGTGGAGTGTGATTTAGTGAGTGTGAGCTTCATTGTGTTCTCACTTGTTATTTGAGAACAAATCATTGTATTTAACTTTTATTTGTGAGAATCACTTGTAATACACTTGTACACCGAGAGAAGTGTGAGGCGAGACACGGGGTCGAATCCAATAGGAGTGGCGTCGATTGACGAACGTAGGGAGAGGTTGTAATCGAGCACTTGAGGAGGAGGACACGTGGTTGGTTCCTACACTTAGTGTGTAAAGTGTGATTGCATAATGTTTGTGTAGTGTGAGAGTTTTCGGTGATCTTGTAAACCGAGTGTGTAGAAGTTCCGGCTTCCAAACCGGATTGTGATAGTGGATATCTCCTCGAGGTGAGGAGCGGGGACGTAGGTCGTAGTGACCGAACCTCGTAAACATATCGTATGTTTATGTTTTGCTTAGCGTACATTCTATTCATCATTATTGTTCATATCCATATCATATTTCTTCTTGCAAGAACAAATTAATCAACATAATTTTAATTAGCTTTTAATTGGGATTAGATTAGCATAAGACCCTAATCACCCCCCTCTAGGGTCTAACACTTCGTGCGCTTATGAGAAGAGGCGGATCTGGAGGAGGAGTAGGAGACGTACTCATCGAACTTCTGTTAGTCGAACTCGTATTTGACCTCTTCAGCCACGGAGATCTTGATTATTGGCTGCGGCACGATAGCCTCGGCAGCGAGGCTGTTGTCTCTCACTGTAGTCGCCAGCTTGTTTGGGAGAAAGTCAATTTGTTCATTGCTATGTTCATTAAAACTTCAAACGTTACAATAAAAACAAAAGTTAGTCTTTTTATAAGACCCTTACACAATGAAAACAAAAAAGTACAACTCTCGTCAAATAGCGCAACGAGTGTTTATCACCTGCTGCTTGCATGTGATCTTGGCCTGTGACGGGGACGCTAGTATCCATGGACCACCAAATGATCAGATCAGATCCGAAGCTTCATCTATCCACGAAGGAATCAAGAAGCCGAAGCAATTATCTCAGTAATAGCGAGATAACCACTCTTCTCGAGATCACCGCAACGGGGCGATCTCAAGGAAGGAATCGGAAAGTGTAGATCTGACGAGCTCCTCTTCTTTATACTGACGATCTCGATCCGATCTTTCCTCCTCCTCTCTGAAATTCGTGGCTCTTCAGTCCTTAATTCGGCAGGGCTTCGTCGACGCTCGAGAATTCCAGCCTTTAAAAAATAAAGGCTCTGTGACTGTATTTATAGGTTTTAGGACATCTGTTTTCGGATAAGAATGATCGATTCACTCTTATCTTCAGTTGTAACCACTTAACCACGTTCTTAGATAGATTCAGATTAGTTGGAATAAATCCAGGTGGTTAACGTCAAAAAACGGCTTAAAACTACCAAAAACAGTATTCTGGGGTCTGCGGACACCCGTGGGTGTCTCGGCCTGGCCGAGACACCAGTGAGTATCTCGGGTATTTTGGTCATAACTTCCTCATATGACCTTCAAATGACCTGATTCCATATGCATTGGAAATCTGACAAAGATATCTACAACTTTCATGTTTTGAGTTTCTTCAGAGTCGAAACGAATCATGACCAAAATCGTTATTCTTCTCTGAGACACCAACACTGTCTCGGAATTCTGAGGCAGTTTATACTATCTTCGGTATTTTGACTTTATTTTTCTCATACAATTTCAGAATGAATTGATCTATGATGCATTAGAGAGCTAACGAGGAGATCTATAACTTTTATGTTTTGAGTTTCTTCAGATTCTAATCGAATCATAGCTAAAATCACTCTACAAGGTCCGAGACACCTTTGGGTGTCTCGGCTTGGCCGAGACACCAATGGGTGTCTTGGCCAAACCAAGACACCTTGGGGTGTCTTGGCTTGGCCGAGACACCTTAGAGTATCTCAGCCAATCCAAGACACCTTTGGGTGTCTCGGGTTGGCCGAGACACCAAAGGGTGTCTGGACTTTGGCTCAAGGCTCGGTCTGCGCGTTCCGTCCGTTTCCGCCGTATTTTCTTCGTCCGAACTCGGAATCGTGCGATCCAAGATACATCGGAAAGCCGACTAGGAGATCTACGAGCTTACATGATTAAATCATATGTGGAGTAAACAGGACGCGAGGGGCGCTTCGTCTTTCGTAAGTGACACGTAGCTCCCGATCCATTCGTGTTTCCGTTATTCCGAAATTCCGTTGCTTCGTATGGTCCGTCGACTTATTTCATGCGTTTATCGTCGTTAAATGAGTTTCTGTGACTCGAATAGCGACGTTCATCATCTTCTCTCTGTCTCGAGCCGCGTGCGGGGACCTATAGGCAATTTTTGACGCCTACACTATCTAATTCTCGTGAAATTATACAAAGAATCAAAGACACTATTTTAACAAGAGTTTCATGATTTCTCAATTACACATGTCAACTGAAAAATCCCAAAATACATAATTGCAAGTTAGATTAGAACATATACAAAAGTGGTAGGTTCAACCCAATTCGGTTGACACCTTTTTTAATCTATTTACATTGCAATATAAAAGCCTATGGAATAGCTACTAGGTCACATTCATATCCTCTGGCCTTAGAGAAGTCAATCGCCTAATAATTGATACAAATACATTCATAATTAACAAAAGGACAGTCGCCTCTTTAGAATATTCACCAACTTATTTTGCCAACTGTTAATAAAAATTAAAAAAGCTTGGCAGAGATTACGAAATTAGAAACCAACAAGCAGACCACGAGATGCATGCCACGATCAACACTATATATACCAATACAAGAGAAAACACTCTCCATATTAATTAGCAACCTAATTAATCAGATAATTAGTTTTGCTTGATTAATTTCACATAACAATGGCTTTTTCCTCTAGGTTTGTTGTGTTTTCTCTCTTTTCTCTTCTTGCTTTGGGTGCTTATGGCAAACTATCCGACGAGAAGTTCTATCAGAAAACTTGTCCGAGTTTACATGGAATGGTTAGATCCACGATGGCACAAGCTGTGGCAAAGGAGAAGAGGATGGGAGCATCCATTCTTCGACTCTTTTTCCATGACTGCTTCGTCAATGTAAGATATAAAATTTAACTATTCATTTTTTTTTCTATAATTCAATTTTATACTTACTCTAATTAATTTCAGACATGTTTCTTAATACAAATTGGGATCCCATCACCAAAACACTTAGTCGGAAAAAGACGAATATGCACTAGTCACAAGTCTTTGCTAACATTTTTAAATTCCTAATTTAATTGGATTCCCCCGATTATTCTTTAAGACATAGATCGTGTGCATTAATGAACTTTTTTAGCATGTGATCTTCGCAAATTAAAACATGATGATGATGGTCGGCATTACTTTGCACGAGCCCAACAACAAAATATTCCACATATATGATTGAAAATATTATGCACAACCACTATTTTGTTCCTAACAAATTTAATCCGTGTTTTTTTAATAATTAGGGTTGTGACGCATCAATACTTCTTGACGACACTTCGAAGTTCACCGGCGAGAAGAACGCTGGACCCAACCAGAACTCTGTCCGAGGCTTTGAAGTGATCGACGCCATAAAATCAAAGGTGGAGGCCAAATGCAAGGCTACAGTCTCATGTGCGGATATTCTTGCACTTGCAGCACGCGATGCAGTTGTCTTGGTAATTTCTCTAATTCTTTTACGAAAGTTGTTCTCTTGATACCAAACACGTAGAATAATAATTTGGTTAATGTCATATTTTTTGGAGGGAGAAGCTGAAGCTATTGCTTTTCTTGCTTACTTGATACAAACACTAGTAGAAAATCGTTTATTCTAGACGGAATATTCTAGACGGAAAATTTTCCGTCTAGTTTGTATTAAATTAGACGGAAAATTTCCGTCTAGAATATTCCGTCTAGAATAAAACATTCTAGACGGAAATTTCCGTCTAGGATAATATTCTAGACGGTTTTTATATTTTTAATTTTTTTTTTAATATAACTAAGCATTCTAGACGGAAATTTCCGTCTAGAATAACTCCTAGACGGAAATTTCCGTCTAAAATACTTTGGCTCGTATTAAAAGAAATAAACACCAGTTCCCTCCCTCCAAAATCGAAATTCCCCCTCCCAACCCAAAAGTTCCGCCCAAAATAACATTAAGAAACCCTCCAAAATTGAAATCCCCCCCCAAATCGAAATCCTCTCCCTCTTCTTCAACCTCTGGCTCCTCCCTCTCGTCCCCTTCACAGGCTACGGCAAGCGCAACGCTCCGGCGACGGAGACGAGGACCCCTACAACCCCACCAAATCATCACCGCCTTCTCCACCTTCTCCCTGGAGCCCACCCCCCTCCTGGCGCGCTCCGCCTCCTCCATCGCCGGCCACCTCGCCGAGCGCTAGAGATCCCCAACGAGCAGAGGGCGGGTAGCGCTGCGGGCAACGGCACGGCAGTGAACGAGCATCTCGTCGAGGGAGATGGGGAGAGTGGTGTCGTGGCCGTGGACGACCATGGCGGCCGTGGGTTAGGGTTTTTTTTTTTTTTTTTTTTGGGGGGGGGGGTGGTAATGACGAAGAAATTGGGAAGCAGGAGTAGAATTATAAACCTAAAAGAACAATAATTTGGATCCTGGTTGAATAAAAGGAGTGGGGTTTAACAGAGATAATTTCAAAAGAAAACGTGATTATTTATTCCGTTCTAGTGAATTGTGGATACTCATAGAGACATGGTGTTCTACCAAGTAAGTGCAATCAGTACAACTGATCTGATACTAAACTTCAGCTCCATATTTTTACAGGAAAAGAGCTTTGAATCCTGACAAACATGTTTGAAACCAGATAAACCGGGTTAGTTCTCTGGATACAGTGGAGGATGCTGCCATCGGGGTTTAACAGAGACACGACCTGATCAAATATGTGGGTGGGTCTGGGTATTTGGGGTGTACTCTAAACTTGGGGTTCTGGGTGGGTTTTTCATTTATTTATATCTTGTTTCTTGTTGATTTGGGGGGATGTATCATCAAATAATCCAAAATTTTAACGATGAGGTTTCATATATAGCCTATATTGAATCTCTGTTTCCTGGTGCAAAATATGACTCATAGCCGAGTGGGATCACACACTCCTGTAACTCTATTCTCTATATAATCTACGGAGCAATCTGACAAAAGAACGTTCTCAGATGCTAAAAAAAAGCATTACTAGATGATAAAATTGGCTTAGGATCGCATCATCAGCTGTAAAGATTACGTGTGGTTGATTAAAGTTATCTTGGAGTCTTAATATGAGAATTAAAAATTAAACAAATCGGGTTGTGTTGTATGCGGTTCCTCTCTCTGTTTTATTATACCTTTTGCTGAAGCGACTCTTTGTATGTTTCAGTCTGCCATGTTTGAATTATAATCCTTAAGATTCTGAAGCTGCTAATTAGTTAATTGATTAAGAGATTACAACTTCTCTAATTGCGACAACTCGATTAATTTCTTAACGTCGTACATTTTGGAGCTACCTTCTGAAACATGTGTAGTAAGGTATTCCATAAATGTACGAAGAGAAATAGATTCATATATTGTTCCTCTTTGGTGTTTGCTCGATTGCTTTATTCTGAAGCATAATTATATGGTTCACAAATTTGACTCCATAATAATTATCTTGATGTATCTAGTTATTCTAATAACTACAAACAAATGTGCTTATGTATCCACAAAAAAAAATCCATTTTGTTGTCATAAACCGTGGTTTCGTGTCTATTCTTGAGTTTCTTACATAAATTATCATATACCGTGGTTTTGTGTCATTACCTGTCCTCCATTATGATTAATGTTAACTCATTTCCTTTTTCGTAAGTTTCCCTGGCTGGAGAATTCCTACCATTTCATGAAGATTTGATGGCTCATCATTGTTAAGTTGTTTATATTGACTGGAGTTTTCTCAAATTCTAGCCATATTATCCATTTTGTTGGGAAATAATTCAGATTTCAACAGTTTACTCGTACTTATGATAGCATTTCTTGTTTAGCTTGCATCCATATTAATATTGTCATATGTGCAACATATTCCATACTTTATTTGTCAATTATTAGATCATGCAAGTTCCTAAGTAACAACCACTTACGGTTGCTTATAATACCTGTGAAATTTTTTTACTTTGTTATGAGATCTGCTATTTCAGGAGAGGGACTGGAGGTGCTACATGCTCACCGAATCATTCATCGCGATCTCAAACCTGAGGTAGATTTTTTTGCGCGAAGATTCAATATAGGCTATGAGTCATATTTTGCTTGTTCTAATTAGTACTCAACTATTGGTATCTCTTTTATATATATGCATTGCTTGTGTCCTTATGGATCAGTTTGTACATATATTGATCAGTTTGTACATATATTGATGCATTGCTTGTGTCCTTATGTTACACTCAGGATGATGAGGAAGAAGGTGAAGAAGGAGAAGAAGAGGGCTTGAGTAAATGTATAGGGAAGGAGTTGAAGAAGTGTCTGCAGTGTCATAGTCATTGTAAATAATTTATGTAAAAACTACTCAATAATTTATGTATCTCTCTACTATTTTGGTGAATGTATTATTTGAATATAATGGGATTTGATATTAGAATATAATTAGATTGTGTTGGATATGAATATAATTTTTTGTTGTTTAATATTGTGTACATGCACTCAAAGTAGATTCTGTAAAAAAAAAAAAAAAAAAAAAAAAAAAAAAAAAAAAAAAAAAAAAAAAAAACTACTGTAGCATAGCATCCTAGACGGAAATTCCGTCTAGGATGCTCAAATTCCGTCTAGGATACTTGTTTTTTTGAAAAAAAAATTAAAAAAATTAAAAAACATCTAGACGGAAATTTCCGTCTAGGATGACTATTCTAGACGGAAATTTCCGTCTAGAATACTCATCCTAGACGGAAATTTTTTCCGTCTAGGATGTATTATTCTAGACGGAAATTCCGTCTAGAATAATCCGTCTAGGATGTATTCTAGACGGTTTTTAATTCCGTCTAGAATAATCCGTCTAGAATGTATTCTAGACGGAATTTCCGTCTGGATTAAACTTTTCCAGACGGAAACTAACTAGACGGCTATTCCAGACGGAATTCCGTCTGGAATAGCTATTGCAGACAGTTTTTTAACTATTCCAGACGGAATATTCCGTCTGGAATGCCACCATTTGTACCAGTGAAACATGAATGCTACATTCTAACTTCTTTTCTTTCTTACAATTATAGTAATTAATTCAGATTATGGATAAACAACCTCTTAGCCGTAGGAAAACTTGTAGGCTATATATCAAAATCATAAATTTCTTTCTATAAAAATATTCTCGAAACAAGTGGCTTTGTTGACACTGCACCTTGGTTTAGAAATCTCTTAGTTAATTTGTTTATTTTTCCCAATAATTGCTATTGCTTTCTCCCATTGTTATTTCTTTGTTTCTCCTCCTCTTTACATATATTCTGTATTAGTTTTCTCATCACATATACTCTAAACATCTTTCATGGTTACTCAAAAAAAATAAGGAAAGAAAGAAAGAAAAAGAAAAAAGATCTGACCATTATCTTTTAAATTAGTGATTAACGTGAAAAAAAAACTATAAATCACAGAATAACATCCCCTTAAAAGCGATGTGTCCCGGAGATCCAGCTCTTCGCATATTGAATGTTCACATGAGGTTAATCATACTTAAGAAAGTCTTGTAATCAAAAAGATTAATAAGTATCATTTGCCCTATTAGAGAAATCTTTTATATACAATGATGTGACTGAATGTTAGCGAAGCGTGATTATGTGAAAGTCTCTTTTCTCCTTTATTCACTTAAATTCAATATATATGCAGCTTGGTGGCTCTTCTTGGAAAGTGCAGCTAGGCCGACGAGATTCAAGAACAGCAAGCCAGAGTGCAGCCAACTCCAACCTCCCACCCCCCTCTGCCTCCCTATCAACCCTCATCTCCATGTTCATATCCAAAGGCCTCAGTGCACGCGACATGATAGCCCTCTCCGGGGCCCACACCATCGGCCTCGCTAAATGTGCCACCTTCCAAAGCCGTATCACCAACGAATCCAACATCGATCCTCGATTTGCTTCGCTTCGCAAGAGAACTTGTAAAAATGGCAATAGTCTCGCTCCTCTTGATCAAGGGAGCGAGAAGAGTTTCGACAATAACTATTATAAGAACCTTGTGGCTCGTCAAGGGTTACTACATTCTGATCAGGAGTTGTTTAATGGTGGATCTCAGGATTCATTAGTGAAGAAGTACAGTCAGAATTCTAAAGCTTTTGAAGATGATTTTGTTATAGCAATGGTGAAAATGGGGAGTCTTTCACCATTGACGGGAAAAAATGGAGAGATAAGATTGAACTGCAGAGTAGCGAACAAAAATTAAGCTAGCTTTTGGGCATCACACAGAATGATGATACATTCTTTTCTGGTTGAGATTGTTTCATTTGTTTTCCTTGTGTCGTATGTGCTAAAAATGTTTCATGTTGTATCTTATAGCTTTTCATTGTTGCTAGGGATTGATAAAGGTGTTTCGGAGTGTTAGGAATTTTAAGTGCGAGTACAATTCTATATTGAAAAGATAGTTGAGAGAAAAAATGATGGACTTAAATAGAAAGCTCGCATGAATAACTAATAATTTAAGCTTTTGTGTTAATTTTATTTCTGATATGTGAAAGACTGTTTAACACTTTTAACTCTCAGGTTCTTTTTTTTTTGGGTCTGGATTAGACCATTTTATGTATTTTTAGTCCATAGAAAGTGGAAGGTCCTACAGGTGGTGGGCTATCAGACTGGGAATTCTATCAAGACACCCTACAAGGCTCAAGGGTGACAGTGAAATACCACCATTGCTTTATTGTTATTTTATATTATAGTATAGGATAAATAGGAAAAAGTGAAAAATCTCACCTTAAAAATGAAAAAAATCATATATTTACATGAAATCTCCATTATTTCAATTGGTTAGTAAAATGATATGACCAAAGAGTTTGGTAAGAGTAATTATGAGAGAGCGCGTACTCCGGTCATCATGCTTCTCATTCCATGTTTATCAATGTAGATCAGATTGGACTACTATACGTCTAATTAACCCAGAAGTGATAGGAGATCCCATAGATATCGGTATTCATATTGTGGCTGCAGTGTTATTTGTGGGGCAAAAAATGAATCTAATTGTAGACGTCTAAAAATGCTTATAGGTGTCCGCATGTAGCTCGAGACGAAGAGAAGACGATGAACGTCATCATCTGAGTCAAGAAGGATTATCCGAGTGGAACGCGCTCGTCAGTCAGCTCCAAGTGACCGAACGCGCTCATTAGTCAGCTCGTGCGCGTCGGTCAGTTCCAAGTTACCGAACGTGCTCATCAGTCAGCTCGCGCGGGTCGGTCAACTCCAAGTGACCGAACGCGCTCGTCAGTCAGCTCGCGCTCATCAATCAGCGAAGCGTGTAAGTCAATAAGACAACCAAATACGTAAATCGACAGAAAGTACAAGTCCAGGAAGTCGGGAAACACCGAAAGAACTCAAAGAAGGCTCAGAACTTGCGTTCTGCGCACGGGTCACTACTTGGGACGCGCGGCCGCGCGGGCGTTACCTAGGGTGACGCGCCGTCTGTGCTGGTCTCACCTCGAGGTGACCGCAGCTGCGGCTGGTCACCACTTTGTGGACCCACGGCCGTGCGGGTCACATCGTGGTGACTCGCGCACGCGTGGGTCATCGTGGTCTGTCCCGTGCCCAAAGTTGTCCAGAACATCCAAAACGCGTTTTTGGCTATTTTCACGGGATTTCTTCTGTTCCAGAGGTTCCCATCTGCCTAGATATCATCTCCAAACGTGGTTACACGGTTATCAACTGAGGATAAGGCCCAAATCCATCATTCTTATTCGAAAACCCCCAACCGAAGCCTATAAATATAGGCCTATGAGCTCATTTCACAGAGGCAATTTATTATCATGAGGACGAGGTCAACTGAGGATAAGGCCAAATCCATCGTTCTTATCCGAAACCCCCCAACCGAAGCCTATAAATACAGGCCTAGGGGCTCATTTCACAGGGGCGATTTATTATCAAGAGGACGAGGTGCTGCTGGATTAGGGAGTCAAGGAGTACGAATTTACGCGAAAGCAAGTTAGATCCCGGCGAACTTCAGCATAAAGAGGAAGGCTTTCGAAGGATCTGAACCCGTATTTCCCCCGTCCGTTCCTAGAGATTAGGCTTGGTCTTAATCTCGAGAAGAGCTACTGATTTTGCTTGGTCGATTTTAGTGCTTCAAGAGATTACTTCCTTTGTGAAGTAAGAGTTTTAATCAATCTTCTGTCAACCGGATCTGATCCGAGGTGGTTCACGAATAAACCCCAGCACATGTAACGATCCCACTCAAGCAGAGACTAATAAATAGGATCTGTGTATTGTTTGAAGGATATTGTAATTTTTATTTTTATTATGTAACGGTCTTATAAAAAGACCAACCTTTTTTGAAATTATTGTAATGATTAAAGTTGTAACGAGTTATACAATAAAGAAAACAATTTCTGACGCAAACACGCTGGCGACCACAGTGGGAGCTAACAGCCTTTATACGAAGGCTGATGTGTCACAACCTCGGATCTGGATCCCGGTTAATGTAGAGGTCGAGTACGAGTTCGACCAGGCCAAGTTAGAGAAATATCTGTCATCCTCCTCCTCCAGATCTTCCACTTCTCGCAAGCCTAGGAAGATCAACACCCCCGTTGCTGCTGCAATCACGCCTTGTAATGCCCCTCTGGCCTCAAACGAGGCTGGTTCTACAGATCTGGACCCTTCCTCCATCAAGGAGTCAATTGATGAAGGCGCAGTAACTCTATCAAAGAGGGCACGCCAAAGGCAACGCCAATGACTTGCGTGCCAACTTGTTAAGGATTTGAAGCCAGTTGACGGGATTCGCTACGAAGCAGATCTGAAGTCCAGAAGACGCCAACCACCACAACAGCGGGCGAACAACCCATCCTTCTTCGAACCAGTGAAGAATGAATGGTTCCACGTCAAAAGGATCCGCTCGACTCTTCAGGAGAGAATTTAGAAACATCACGTATTGCTTGCGCATGCAAAAATCCTTGTGTAAGAAGCCAAAAAATTGCAGGAGGAAGAAGTGAAAAAGAAACCACCAAGACTACACAAAGTATGTAGGCCAAAGTCCAAGACAGCAGCCGAAAAGATCCACAAATGCGGGTCACTCAAGTCTGACCCTCCAAGCCGTGGGTCACTTAAGTCTGACCCTCCAAGCGCGGGTCACTCAAGTCTGACCTTCAGCCGGAGGTCACCCCGAAGTGCCCTTCCAAGCCGCAGGTAACTCAAGTCTGGACCCTCCAAGCCGCGGATCACTCAAGTTGACCCTCCAGCCACGGGTCACTATAGTCAGACCTTCAAGACCACGGGCACTCAAGTCTGACCCGCCTCAAGTCGCGGTGTCAGCCCACATCTGAACCCTCCAGCTGCGAGGTCACCCCAAAAGTGATCCTCCCTAGCAGCGGGTCACCTGGACCCGACCCTCCAAGCCACGGATCACTCAAGTCTTACCCTCCAAGCCGCGAGTCACCATGAAGTGACCCTCCTAGCCGTGGGTCACCCCGAAGTAACCCTCCTAACCGCGGGTCACCCCGAAGTGACCCGCCCAACTACGATTCACCAAGTCCTAACCCACACCAGGGCCGAGACAAGAGACACTCCGCACCCATATTTTTGATTCCGTCGAGTTCTGCCCCTGCTCTAATTTATCCAATACTTTCAGTGAAGCCTCGTGGCAGTGTAGACTTGTTCAAAAGCAAGAAGCCAATGGCGAATCATCTGAGTCCTTTGCATAAGGATCAAGGCAAAGTTTCGATCAAAGAGCGCTTAGTTCCGGTGACTTAACCCCTAGCAACTCATCAAGCTGGGGGTCACACTCGCCTTTATAACAAGTCTAAGGCTTCTCGTAAAGAGGAAACTCCCATAATCGATCGCCTCGGACTACAAGTCAGTGCCCAAGAGCCCGTTGAGGTCCCGCGCTCATGAAAGCGTGGCTCCAAACGTGTGACTCTTGAGAATGCCATCAAGGCAGCAAGTGAGAATGCCATCAAGGCAGCAAGTCCTCAGAAGGAAACGTGTTCATCAGATGACGATGTTATATCTAAGAAGTTGTGCCGACACACGGTAGATTGCCCTGGTCATCAGACCGATGAGTTGTACTATTAGGCTAGGGGTACGAACAGATCTTGAAAGAGGGATACTTGGGAGATGGACTTTCATTATCAGTGTGTTAAACTTATCAGGATAGTATTATCAGTGTGTAACTACCCCAAGACTGCTTCGCAGAGGGTCTCGGTATTCGAGAGGATCTCCGACGGAATGGCTAAGTCCAAGCCAAAGTGTTTCTGCAAGAAACGATCGATCGTTCAAGGTGACAAACTTCCTGAAGTCACGGTTAATTTGGCTGATAAGGGAAAGTCGACTCGAACTTCTAGTTCTGACTTCCTCGTATCGCATCATTTAACTCGGTTACACATAGGGACTACTAGACGTAGGGACTATCAGAGGATGAATAGAGGGTTATCCTCGGATAATGAAGCATCAGATGCTAACTCTGCAGTCGCTTCTGACAATACGGTAGCCAGCCCAGGACAATCCCACGAAGTGTTTATGAATAACACCGAGGAAGTAGCCAAAATGGTTGAGGATGCTCTAGCCAAGCAGAAAGAGAGCTTTAAGTTCTAAATGAAAATGGTTATGACGTAGATGAGAGAAGAGCATGACCAACACATCCGAGCCTTGTCGAATCAGATAGGTGAATCCATACTTCATAACAATATTAGCCAAGCAGCTAGCGATTCAGATGTGGATGAGCACTTTAATGCTGATAACCCTCCCGTTAACCAGAACGCTAGGGGTGGCCCCACTAAAAATAACGACGCTATGGGTAGTCCCACCGAAGATGAAAATGCCGGGGGTGGTCATTTTATTCCTCTCAGAAATCGTCCAAAGCATGATACAAAGGAGGAAGAAAAGATGAAGGACCTCAAAAGCAAAATCAGTGCTCTGATATCCGCTCGAGAGGTGAAGAAGATCGGTATTCCATGTCCTTACCCAAGAGAATGGGAGTCGATCCCATATCCGGTGAAGTTCAACCTAATTAACTTCACACCATTTGACGAGAAGGGTTCGCCTACTCAGCATCTGATTTACTTCAAGTCCTACTTAGGCATGATCTCCAACAATGAAGCATTGATGGTCCGATTATTTGTCGGTATCCTTTGCGGGCCCGCCTTCTATTGGTACCGCCATCTCAAGCTTAGAAGCATCAACAGCTGGGACGATATGGAGAGCTCATTCCTCGATAATTTTTTTGATAATGACGTCGAGGTATCCATCGGGACACTCTTTGAGGAGAAACAAGAAGACGAAGAGACAGTCGACGACTTTATCTAGCGCTTTTGAAATAAGATGATGAATTGCTGAGATCCAGTCACAGAGGACTTCATCCTCCAAACCTGTCATAACAACCTATCTATTCATATTTTGGAAGTTATGGAAGTAGCACCATCCAACACCTGAAAAGAGTTGAAGGTGCACGGAGAACCGACCGAACACTTCCTCAGAAGGAAG